AAAAAAAAAAAAAAAAAGCCAATCAATTCTTGTGGATAAAGGATTTATCTTGATTTTCTTTGAAATATCCTGAAATCTTCACCATTTGGTTTCTATCATGGTAAATGGTTGACAACTATCTGGACATTTCTGGCTTGACACCAGCTTCCTCTAAAACCTCTACAGAATCCACCTAAATGCTGGCTGTGTGAGCTATGCCCCATGTGTGGGATGAAGCAGAGGAGCAGTAAAAGCTCTGAAAGCAGAAATAATCCACCATGACTATACAATCACAGAGGAGGTGGTACACAGTGTGGGGTGGGGTGGGGTGGAGGGAGACAAATGCAGGGCCCCTAGAGGCATCGGCTGGTGTGGACACTACTCTTGAAATGTTAGAGAGGGAAGGAGGGACAACTTCTGATGAGACTCAAGAGCACTAAGGGCAGCAGAAATCTTCACCATAAGAGAGAGGAGTTGGGACAAACAGAGAGATGGATGAACACACACACAGAGCTGTATTAAGAGACGATGTTAATCAGAAAAGGTCAGGCTCCTGTCAATGCCTGTGAGTGTCTGTGTCTCCTTCTAACATACCTCCCCATAAAAGTGTGAGGAAAAACACCCAGCCTCCTGGAAGGAGTTATAGCTCATAGGAACTCTCTTCCAGGATACAGGTGATGTGGGAGAAACCAGAAATCTCAAACAACCCAAGCTGATTTTTCTCTTAACTGATGCTCCAATACTAATACTTTTTTTTCCCTATCATAATTTGATGTTTCTAAATCTTGTACCATTTCTGCACATACAAAGGATAAAGTGGGGGAAAGTTCTGGAATGATGTGATTGTTCAATCAGCAGAATCTGTCATCTGAATGTGAACTTCTTCTTTTGGCTTTTAATTTTCCAAACTGCCAAAAATAATCAAGAAACTCAGATCATCTGTTTATACTGCTTGAATAACCAGAGTGATTTTCACAAATGTGCCTTTTGCTCCCAAATACAATTCCAGGTGATATCAAGAGGGGCTAGAACATTATCACAATTACACCTGATTCTTAAGTCCATAAAAAAAATCAGGAATTCGGGGCGCCTGGGTGGCGCAGTCGGTTAAGCGTCCGACTTCAGCCAGGTCACGATCTCGCGGTCCGTGAGTTCGAGGCCTGCGTCAGGCTCTGGGCTGATGGCTCAGAGCCTGGAGCCTGTTTCCGATTCTGTGTCTCCCTCTCTCTCTGCCCCTCCCCCGTTCATGCTCTGTCTCTCTCTGTCCCAAAAATAAATAAACGTTGAAAAAAAAATTAAAAAAAAAAAAATCAGGAATAGAATGAAGAGAGACAGAGAAAGAGTGTGGTCAGATTAATTGAGCCAGAGCTCCCCAAGAGGGAGTAACAGTATCCTACTGGCAGGCATTGGCAATATGGGGCAGTGCGTGCTTTGGGGAAGTAACAAGAGGTACATTTCGTCTGGACTCTCCCTATGCTGGCAGTGAGGGATTTTTTTCTTGTTTTTCTGCATTTGTTTTTGTCCAAGAGCCCATTCAGGAAAATCTGCAGGCTGGATTTTTTTTTTATCATTCAAAATAAAAATGGTTTCATTGATTTGTCTGGAAAAAATGTTCTTCCTTCAAAGATGACCAACGAGATAACAGGCACTGTTTTTAACACTAAAACATTAACATCTGGACACATTTAAGAAGTAGGGACAAAGTAGGAGGTACTTTTCAGTGTTTCTGTCAGTAAAGCAAATTGTAGTCTAGATTCTAGATCACCATTCTAGATGACCTTGAATTTCCTAGCAAAAACAACTTGAGTTCATACTTTCCTCGATCTGGCCTAGATGAAATCACAGGACACCTCTCAACATACGTATCTATGTTTTGTTTTGCAACAGTGGTGTGCAGTTGCTTTGTTCATCTGCTATAATGAATTTCAAGCTGTGTAATTTTACTAGACAGTCTGCCTTCAAGGTAGTTTGAAGTTGCCTTTCTCTCAAGACAGTATGTCAGCTGCCCACAGATCCTTGTGTTTGTTTGTGAACCACATACCATTTACCCATACCAACCTTCCATCCCATCCCCGTCCCCCAATAAATCACTCAAACACCTTTCTGGAAAAACCAAACCAAACCAAACCTCTGGAAGTTACTATGCTTTAAAAAAATAATCTTAGGGGAACCTGGGTGGCTAAGTCAGTTGAGCGTCCAACTTTGACTCAGGTCATGATCTCATGGTTCATGGGTCTGAGCCCCGCATGGGGCTCACAGCTGTCAGTGCAGAGCCTACTTCTCATCCCCTGTCCCCCTCTCTCTCGGCCCCTCCCCTACTCATGCTTTCTCTCAAAAATTAATAAACATTAAAAAAAAAGTAATCTTAAGGAAACTCTTGCTACAGTGTAGAAGTTCAGCAGAAGGAAAAGCAGCTTTCCATTTCCTAGTAACTCTCCTTTGGTCTGTCTCTTTAGTCAACTGATATTTCTCAAATGCCTACAGCTAACTATAGTATTCTGTGCTTTTCCTCATGAGAATGAAGTCAAATACCCACCCTGGCAAAGTGGTCATTTCCAAGAAGTGTTTGCAGAAGGATGGGCAGCTCCTTTTCCAGATGAAGCTTAAGGCAGAGCTGGGTCAGCTCTTCCCGGTCCAGAAAGCCTGTCCCTGTGGTGTCACAGCTGCTGTAGACTTCTTTGAGCTGTGAAACATAGTGGTTCTCTTCTTCTTCACCCATCCCATAGCAGGCTGGACATGCCAGGGGGAAAAGAGAAACAAGAGTACACTCTTATTGCCACATGCCACATTTTTTCACTGCTCCAATGAGCCTGGTATGGTGGCATCCAGGGTGCTCCTGTGAGACCTGTACAGGAGAGGTCAGAAACATGTGAATGGGGAGCCAGTCCTTGTTCAAAAGAACCAGAATTTCTTTGTTCTGTAAGAAAATATCTATTATAGAATAATCAGGAAAAAGAGATCGGTATAGAGAACTTAAAATCATCCAAAATTTCACCACCTAAAAATATCATTACTAACATTTTGACAAACATACATTCTAATTTTTCTCTCTCTATATATATAAGTATGGTATTTTTTTCCTTACTGGTATTTAGTTATAAATACTTTATAAAGTAAAAATGTTACTAAATTTTACTAAATAAAATTATTTACAATAAAAAATGGAAACTCCAATAAAATATATAGAGGATGTTACTTAATCACAAAGGAAAAAGTATATGGATAATAACCATATAAAATGTTCAAATTAAAACAAAGATACTCTTTGCCACTGTCAAATATCAAGAATAAAAACCCCAATGCTAACTGAGGCTATCATCAAAGGGGCCTCTCACATATTTCTGAAGAAAGTGACAATTAAATGCCTTCTGAAATATACTTTGTATACCAGGAAATTTTTAAATAATTGTATTATCTGACCTAGTTATTTCACATACACAATATCTTACAGAAATTCCTTGTACTTCAGGACAGACAAAAACGTAAAAGAAAACAAAATGTCCAACAAAAGAAAACAGATTGCTAAGTTACAGAACAATTATATGGCAGAATAGCCAACAGGCTTAAAAAACACATTTCTGAAAAATATTAAACAGCATAGGAAGTGCAGTTGATAAAATACCAAGCCAGGATAAAAACTATATAGTAATAATAGCTGGCATACGTACTGGTCAGTTCACATACAAAATTCACTTATGTCTAGAACAAATCTATCAAGAGACTTCTGCAATTCTTGGGGGGAAATATAGTAAAAAAAAAAAAAAATACACCAAAATGGTAACAGATGATTTTATGATATTCTACATTTCCATTTTCTATTCTCAACGTTTTTATATTTCTCAAAAAATTCTATAAAAAGTGAAACACTTTATAACTAGAAAGATGTTGCTAAGCCGTGTAAAACACTGAGGTCCTAAAGATACTAGGATGAACCATATGATATTGCCAACACTGGAGTTTTCTAACCAACAACAATGGCGACTTCACGCTGGTCAGTATATTATACAGACACAGGACTGTGGACAATTCTGAAAAGAGGAGATGCGATAAGTAAACAAACATGGAAAACTGATCAAGCTCATTAATCATCAAACAATTCATAAACACGAAACAATAAAGTAACATCTCTTACTAATAAGAAACAGCACACGGGGCGCCTGGGTGGCTCAGTCGGTTAAGCGTCCGACTTCGGCTCAGGTCATGATCTCGCGGTCCGTGAGTTCAAGCCCCGCGTCAGGCTCTGTGCTGACTGCTCAGAGCCTGGAGCCTGTTTCCGATTCTGTGTCTTCCTCTCTCTCTGACCCTCCCCCATTCATGCTCTGTCTCTCTCTGTCTCAAAAATAAATAAACGTTAAAAAATTAAAAAAAAAAAAGAAACAGCACAATAAATGCCAATTCTATAAAGATATGATTTTTAATGTCAATGGTATTTGCCCATGCATCATCCACGAGGGGTAGGGAGGTCTGCATTAGCACAAAACCTGTATGAAGGATTGAAATCTGTTCATATCAATCCCCTCCTCCCTCCACCAAGAGTATCGTCTTACTCAGGGAAACAGTAAAATCAGTGACGTAAAAAAACTGACTTTGAATAGAATCTCCATTATGATCTTATAAGGTGAACTGCCTTCCCTGAATTCCTGATTAAACACCTGCTGATCAGGTATAAAGACTGCCAGCATCTCAGCCTCAGGTGTGATGCAGGAGTGAAAGGATAACAGGCCTGTTCTATCCACTCATCAAATTATGCGTGCATTCCTAGAAAGAAGCTTGGGGAAGTGATGAAAGGGCATGGATAGGTGGAGCTCTGAACACCTGCCCCATCCCGGACAGTTTTGACTGCAGAAACAACATGGAGTAACATAGATATACATGTAAAAACATCAAGGATAAATCAGAAAACTAAATACCATTACTAACTCAACATCTGTCACACTTCTCATCCGAGGTCAGTCCCCCACCTAAGCTGGGAGCTCTGTCCTTTTGCAGACAACAGACACCTGTGGTGAGCTGCATACAACTACTGATATTTGCCAATGCTTATTTTTGATAAGCCAGAAGTAAATGGACAAGAGAACATAATGGTAAGAAAGACAAGTGGCAAAATTCAGTATGTGAAAGAGAGTCAAGGAATCAGGGTGAGGAGGGTGAGCAGTGACTAGGAGACCCTGACTGCAGAACCTACCACACACCCACACTTCCCCAGGCAGATGTTCCCCCCACCGCATGCTCTCCCTGCTGCCTTGACTACTAACTATCCTCCCAGCCCCCATCCACCACCACCTGGCCATGCCTCCGCAAATCATGAACACACCTATTGTGAAAAATCCTCCAGTTTTTCTATTTTACTTTTAGTTGTAACCAATTCAAGCAATTAAAAGTATATAAACAAAAACAAAACAAAACAAAACAAAGCAAAACAAAAGCCCAACTCCACTCCCAGAGGTAAGGACTGCTTAGAGTGTAGGCTTTCAAATTATTCCCAAGTCTACGAGGTAGATGAACACACAGACCTATATAAATAGATAACACACATAGATATGCATGTTTTTATGTAAGTGTAACACCATACGTGTTATTTTGCAACTTTTTTTTTTTAATTTTGAAGAAAGAGAAAGTGTGCATAAGTGGGGGAGAGGGACAAATGGGAGAGAAAGAGAGAGAGAGAGACAATATCTCATGCAGGCTCCAGGCTTAGCTCAGAGGCCTACTCAGGGCTTGGTCCCACGGCCCTGGGATCATGATCTCAGCTGAGTCAGATATTCAACCAACAACTGAGCCACCCAGGCACCCCTATTTTTCAACTTTTAAAAAATATAGGATATCTGAAAGATCTTTCCATGCCTTCTTCATTTAAAAATTTTTTTAAATGTTTATTTATTTTTGAGACACAGAGAGACAGAGGCAGACAGAAAGCGAGCATGAGCGGGGGAGGGGCAGAGAGAGAGAGAGAGGGGGACACAGAATCTGAAGCAGGCTCCAGGCTCTGAGCTGTCAGCACAGAGCCTGAAGTGGGGCTCAAACCCATGAACGGTGAAATCATGACCTGAGCCAAAGTCAGACGCTTAACTGACTGAGCCACCCAGGTGCCCCTCTAAGGATTGTCTTAGAGATGCGGGGCATCTCCAGGGTTTTTTCTTACAAAACCTTCCTCCGGCCCTCAACACCCCAGGAGGACTCTTCATGAGTCCTGAAGGGGCAAACCAAACCATGTCCTGCAGAGTGTGCCCTTGGTTGGTGCAGGAGTGTCCCTGGAGAAGGCGGGCTTGGCTGTTTTCCCCAGGGCTGAGCAAGAAGAGAAGAACCATCTTCCTCTCCCAGCCTTAGGCAAGTCCTGCATCAACACCATCCTGGAGGGCCACACACTCCCTCCACCACATGTTATTTTTGTTGCCACAGGGACTTAAGGTCCCTGTTGAGATGTAGCTTTCCCTTTCTACACAGTTTCAAACTGGGGCCTGAGGCACCCTGGCTGTCCATGAAGGTGCAGTCTGTATGCAGAGGGCCCACTGGTGGCGAGTCTCCCCTGGTGAAAGGGGGTCCACAGCCTGCCACAACCCAAAGCCTTGCTGAAATAAGGAGAGGTGCAAAGAAATAAGTACTGAGACTACAGACACCAGAGAAGCAACAAGACTTAGAAAGAAGAGTAGCAGCTCCTTCTTCATCACCCACAAGAGCTGCGTTCACAGTTCATCTTCAAATGTCACCAGGCTCCACCAAGTCTGGGGCTGTCTCTGGAGGCCTAGGATGCTCCTACCTCATTTCCTCTGGGACCACAGAATCACATTTTTGAGGCCTGGCTGGGATTTCTAGAAAACAGAAGGAACTTCCCATCTGACTAAACAGACCACAGAAGGGACAGGCCAGCAGGGCCTGGTTTTGAAGAGAGCAGCACTAACTCTTTGAACAGCCTCTGCTCCCACAGGACCTAGTACAGCATCCCCCTCAGGCCCGTTTTCATTGGCTCACAGCAGAACATCCAGTGTACCCAAAATGAGTCTATGAGGCAAAACTGCAAAGGAAACCTGACCTCGGTAAAATGCAAACAGATTCAGGTTCTGAAAACAGATTTAGCCTCTTCATAAGAGGCTGAGTGCCAGAAGCACATTTCAGTTAAGTAGAACAGCCACTCTGTCTACAGGGAGGCAGGCCCAGAGTACCCAGAACTCCTTCTAGGGTCTCCCCCACACGCCAGGTTATGATAAAGTCTCTAGAGAACCTCTTCTGAGAGGCTACATGTTTTCCTGAGAGGGGACACCCATCAGTAACAGGGTACCCAATCAGTGAGTGCAAAGCAAGACCTTGGGGGTGGGAGGAAAATCAAGAAAATGTAAATGGGAAACAGGCCAAATCCTCAGGCCACCAGGCTGCCATCCAATGACCCAACACCAGGAGGGTGTGACTGGCATAGTCCTCCCAAGCTCCACACCCCACCTGCCCTCTGGGCCACAAGGCAGACAGGAACTGAGGAAGGGCTTCCTCCAATCCCAGAGCTGACCTCAGTGCAGGTCTGTAGTGCATTTTGTCAAATGCTTCAAATGCCCGAAATGTTTTGGGTTTTACATTTTTATGCTGGACATTCTATAATGAGCCCAGAGCACTACATGATGCTGTAATTTAGCTATTTTAAAGGGAAGGTCACCAGCATTATAGACCCACTTAATATCAGAGTTGCTGCATCCCAGACCTTCCCAGGACAGGTCAGGTCTAGGCTGGGGTGGGCCAAGAAGGGGAAGAGTGGGGAGCACACTCTAGGGCATTCACCCAGGAGAGGGGGGCATTCCCAGTGGGGCAGGTAAGCTGAAAAGCCTTCCCAATACCTGCACTGTCAAAGAGGATATATCAAGAAAATCAAGGTCAGCAAACCCTCACATGTTCCCACATCACACTGGACCTGCCAGAGGTGGAACATACCTGCAGGAACTCCTACCCCATGATTCCAGAACTGGGCAGAACTCAGGTGTGGGAGCTGGAGGTTAAAGGGCTCCAGAGGGCCCTCCCAGGAGCAATGAGAAGCCAGCCCTCTTCTTGACAGAACTTACTTGTCTGCCTACACACCTCCATGAAAGGGTTAACACAGGGCAAGGACCCAAACACTCAACCCCACATCGCCTAGGTTATACCTAGTTTTGCTCAATACACAGTTGAATTCCTGGCAATTCAGAAACACTCCTTTCCTCTCCTTTCCCTCATCATGTGAATCTAAGACATTGCACCCAAGAGAGCAGATATTTCATCTACCAGCCATGCAGATACAGGCAAGAGAGGTAATTCAGGTCAGCAGTACTACAAGTCAGGCAAAAAAAGATATGCTAACACATTTCCTAACCCCCACCCAAAGCAATGTCCAGCCATGTTTTCAAAATAAAGGGAAAAAGGAGGCACTGCCTCTACTCATGTATGCCCTATGGACACTTCCCAGGATGTGGGAAGGGTCTTTCTGTAGCTTCTGGAATACCACATTAACAAACCTCAGTGGTAAAATAGTTCGCTATACTGGCCAGGAAGGCTTGGAAGAACTCCAAGGCTTCCTTCACCTGGAAAGCATGGCCTGGGTACAGGTCTAGTCCACCAGTACAGAGGAGCCATGTAGACCTCCATGGCTTCCTCTGCATTCAGGAGTCTCAGAAAAGGGCTTGAGTGACAAAACTAGACACTGTAAACATCACAGAATTATGGAAAGTCTCAGAAATAGTGGGGAAGCATGAAAAGGGGCTTCAAAATTCTGATGTTCACACACACAACCCATTTGCTGGAATGTGGAGGTAGTGATTTGGGAGGTGGTACATGCAGAAGGGGAGACCCAAGACATACACACAGGCACTGTCCTGCCCCACCCCACAAAGAAAAACTAATATCCACAGAGAGAGAAAGGAAAATCATTAAAGTCATCACAGACAATAGACTATTAAACAAAGGTATGATTAAGACATCAAGGGAGGTTTCTTGGACATTGACATATTACAGTTGCAACAAAAAAATTCAATAGCAAGACTGGAAACTACAAACAAGGAAATCTTCCATGAAGTGCATCTAAATGACGGGGCGCCTGGGTGGCTCAGTTGGTTAAGCATCCGACTTTGGTCATGATCCGGTCATGATCTCGTGGTTTGTGAGTTCGAGCCCCACGTCGGGCTCTGTGCTGGAGCTCAGAGCCTGGAGCCTGCTTCTGATTCTGTGTCTCCTCCTCTATCTGCCCCTCCCATGCTCATGCTCTGTCTCTCTCTGTCTCTCACAAATAAACGTTAAAAAATTTTTTTTAAGAAAAGTAGATTTAAAGTGTGTCTAAATGAGATAAGATTACATGATGAGGAAAAGACAGTCTCTTCAATAAATTCTGTTGCAGGGTGCCTGGGTGGCACGGTGGGTTAAGCGCCTGACTTCCGCTCAGGTCATGATCTCATGGTTCATGAGTCTGAGTTCCACATCAGGCTGTCTGCTGTCAGCAGAGTCCATTTCAGATCCTCTGTCTCCCTCTCTCTCTGCCCCTCCCCCCCTTAAAAATAAACATTAAAAAATATATAAATAAATGGTGTTGCAAAATTGAAGAAAGAATAAAGAATGAAGTTTGACCCTTACCTCATACCATACACAAAAAACTAACTCACAATGGATTCAAGTTCTAAATTAAAATCTAAACCTATAAAACTTTTAAAAGAAAACACAGAGGAAAAGTTTCATGATGTTAGATTTGGTAACAGTTTCTTACATATGATACTAAAGCACAGGCAACAAAAGCAAAAACAGGCAAATGGTATTATATCAAATTTAAGAACTTCTACACATCAAAGAAAAAAGAGTGAAAAGGCAATCTATGTACTGACTGGGACAAAATAATTGTTAACCATATCTGATAAAAGGTTAATAACCAGAACATATCAAGAACCCCTACAACTCAATAACAAAAGACAGGTGATCCCATTTAAAAAATGGGCAATGGATTTGGAGAGACATTTCTCCAAAGAAGATATAAAATGGCTGACAAATGGCCAAACATATAAAAAAGGTGCTCAACACCTCTCATCATTCTCACACGCATTAGGATGGCCACTATAAAAAACAAAACAGAAAACAGGTGTTGGTGAAAACGTGGAAAAACTGGAACAATACACAGCACTGTTGGTGAAAAATGATGCAGCCACTATGGAAAATCGTATGAAGGGTCCTCAAAAATCTAAAAATAGAAACTATATGATCCAGCAATTCTACTTCCATGTATATAGCCAAAGGAATTGAAAGCAAGATCTCAGAGATATTTGCACACCCATGTTCACTGCATCATTATTCACAATCGCCAAGAGGTAGAAGCAACCCAAATGTCCATCAACAAATGAGTAAAGAAACTGTGGTATATCCACACAGTGGAATGTTATTCAGCCTTAAAAAGAAAGAAACCCTGTCACATACTACAACACAGCTGAACCCTGCGGGTGTTCAGTTTATGCCAGTCGCAAAAGGACAAATACTGTGTGATTCCACTTGCATAGATGTTTAGTCAAATCATGGAAACAGTGGTGGTTGCCAGGGGCCGGGGGGAGGAAGGAGCTGTTCTGTGGGTATAGAGTTTGTGTCACAAGATGAAAAAGTTATTGAGATCTGTTACACAACAATGTGAATACTGAACTGTACATTTAAAAATGATTAATTGGGTAACTTTTATATTATGTATTTTTTATAATTAAAATTAAAAATAAAGTTTTCACAAAGAAAAATAATTCACAATTTGATGGCTTACTTTCCGAAATTGTCTGGCTTACTTTCTGAAATTGTTCTATGGTACTGTTATCTAGATTTTCTCTTTCCTTAGCAACAACAACAAAATAACAATCCCAAAGCTCCAGGCATCCTCTGAAAGTCCAGGAAAGGGAACCAGTTGAAGGGAAGGGGGATTATTGGAATAATACAAGACTTTTCCTTTTTTTTTTCCTTTCAAATCTCTGTTTAAATTCTACTTAGTTAACATACAGTGCAATATTGGTTTCTGGAGTAGAATTCAGTGATTCATCACTTACATATAACACCTAGTGCTCATCATAACAAGCACCCTCCTTAGTATCCACCATCCATCTAGCCCATTGCCCCATCCATATCCCTCCATCAACCCTCAGTTTGTTCTCTATTGTCAAGAGTCTCTTGTGGTTTGTTTTCCTCTCTCTCTTCTCCTCCCCTCCCCCCACCTCCCATATGTTCATCTGTTTTGTTTCTTAAATTCCACATATGAGAGGGGTGCCTGGCTGGCTCAGTCAGTTAAGTGTCCAGCTTTTGGTTTCGGCTCAGGTCATGGTCTCATGGTTTGTGGGTCTGAGTC